GGGCGATATCGCCCAACTAGGGGCGGTGGAAAGATTTTGGGGGCGGTAAGGAAGAAGAGGGCGGTAGGGGGGCGATAGTCCGGAGTCAATGTTAGAAGTTCTAACGTTTGTTTGACGATTTGTACACAACACGTGCAGCACATGACTCCCAGCGATGTTTTCGTCACCCATGCAGATCTTTTTTTAACCTCTCCTGGGTTTACGTATCGGACAAATTAACGGCCGGACTAACAGCCAATTTCCAAATTCAATGATCAAGTCACGAGCTAAACATCACCGGTGAGATGTTAGTTATTTATAAACAAAGTTTCGTTGAAATCTGTTCTGTAGTTTAGAAGAAATTTCCTGATCGCCGCGAATGTAAGCGACAAATTACCCGGCTATAAGGCGGTGCTACGAGTTGAAAATCAATAATGACGGTGAAATGAAAAAAAAAACTTGCAAACGAAGGTAAAATCGAAAAAATTTTATGAGCTAAAAATCATCGTTTGGTAGTTGGGAATGTATATTCAAAATTTCGTTCAAATCTGTTCAATAGTTTGGAAGAAATTCTCTGATCACTGCGAATTTCGGCCTGTTTCGCTATATACGCGTAACTCACGAATGAAGTTGAAATTAAAATATATATATATATATATATTACGAGCTTAACATCGCCGTTAGGTTCTGATGAATACATGTTCCAAGTTTCATAGAGCTGCGTTCATTAGTTTGGGAGATATTACTCGATAATTGAATTTGGAGATTGGCCGTGAGACCGGCCACGAGTCCGGTCGTAATTTCACCCGAGACGTCCGAGGTTTCTAGTGCTGAAACAGTTAAAACAGCTGAAAAACATATTGGTTTACTTACTTTACTAAAGGGGTTTTATTTGTGAAATACACATTTGTGCTTAATCGTTCTCTTTTAAAATCGCAGCGTACTAAATTTCAAGAAAGAGGCGTATGTCTGTGGGGGGCGCTAGAAATTCACTAGGGAGCCAAAGGGGGCGCCAGCCTGAGATAATTTGGGAACCACTGGTTTAGAGCCTATAGAGGGCGCGCGGAGGAATCGAGTGTTGAACGTGCTCATTACCAGTCAAAGCAAAGGTTATCGACTTCTCTGAAGTCTCATACTCTCAGTCTCAGTTGTGTCGTGCGTTGCGTTGAGCTTACTGTTGCTGTTGTGCCTATCGGGGCTGTTAAATTAACATGAGAGTTGATGAAACATTAAACTAACAATTATATTATGGGAGGAACTCATCCTAATTTAATCTTATATTTCGGGAGCTTCATATCCTAATTCAATCTCATGTTTTGAGAGCATCTTATCCTTATAGCATGTTATATTCATCGCTTCAGCATCTATGTACTCGTAGGAGCGTCTGATCACTTCAAGTCGTTTATTGGCTTTATTAACTTAAACTTCAATATGCTTAGAAAATTTCTATTCATTGTCGACATTAACTCATAATCTAATTTCAGTTGTATTGCAGCAGTGGGATGCGTTGATTCTTTACTTTGAATCGCAGGCAAAAACTGATCAATTTTATGGAACTCGTAAAATTTATGATTTACTCATTAGTTGCGACACGAAACATATGCTATGTTTTGTTCAAAATGTTCTGAAGAAAGTCGATGCACTCAACTTGGAATGTCAATCAGAACATTTTAGCTTACATGTCCTGCACTCGATGGTATATGCTGAATATAAAATATATTGAGCTATTTCATTAATGAAGAATGCTTGACAAAATCAAAACTATGTGATATAGATCCAAGTTATAGCACCGTTCAAACCTCTTAAAGATATATTGCTTAGTGGTTGAACAATGGCAGTGTTGGAAATTCAGAAAAGACTGTTTGAACTTCTTGGTAGCATTATGTGTACAAATCAAACACAGATTTTCATTTGATGATAGAAGCATTATTGCACAACTTAACATTTTAAACCACAAGTTTTGTAAGCAATTATTCACTTTTTTTCCATTGCAACATTAGCGGCTCAGTTCAAAAACCAGGAGTCTGAAGATAAATTAAATGATCTTGACGATGAATACCGAAGCTTCAGAGGATAACCAAGGACTTAAACCTCAGAGAACAGCAGAACTGTCAGCATTCCGGAACTTTGGCATAACCTTAGATCCGTAAAAGATAGTCTTGCCCAACCCAAATTTGAATTTTTTTCAAATTTAATACAATTTGTCAGTTTTTCTGCATTCATCAGCCTGCGTCTAGAGAATTTTCTCTTTAATAACGCGAGGACTTCAAAAAATAAACTCTTTCAAAGCCACAACTACCCGAGACCGAATCCTAGCTAAACAAACGTGGACGAAACGTGGTCAGTTACATTAGCCATTTAGAGGAGAAAACGGCCATTTATAGGAGATATGAAAATAGATTAGTGGATGCAAGACATTTTGATAAAGCTGTTGTTTACGTGGGGGATGAGGATGAATGACGATTGTAATATGTAAAATAACTTCAAAATAATTGGAAATATGTTGATTTGTAATTCATGTTTATCCCTATATACCCATACTCATTCCTATGTGAACATCTAGGATTTATTACTATGAATTACATGTTAGGAGAAATCTAGGTTTTTTCATCCAATTCTAGGTTTTTCGGAGGTATAATCTAGGGTTTAAAAAAATAGTCGCTGGCAGCACTGGCTGGGACTGGGAGCCCTGCTCGGCACAGAACGTCCGCTGCATTCAGTCTTGCTGGAGGCGTTGGTGCGGAGAGTTATTCTGCAGGTTTCGCTCTCCGTGAACTTTCACTTGGCTATTTCTAATAGCAGTATCAACGTATATTCTAATTTATTTTAAATGTAAGAAATTCATACTTGAATTACTAGCTTAATCATGATTCAATAAACGTTGGATTATCATCTGTGATTAATTTATAGCCTAGATGTACTATTTGTCGAGATCCTCCCTCAATCTTTGATTGTTTTTCACTTCTCATGAGTGTCATACTCAAGCTTCCAACGCACACCTAATTATTTGAACATTTTAGGCTTGGCAGCGAACGGGTCCCTCATTCTGTGTACACACTTCCAAGACATTTGAATCTTATCACCTCTTGTGACGTCATCACGAGGCAAACTCGGGCGGAAAATTAGGACTACATTCAATATGTATTTTTGAACTAGCAGTCTAGCAGTTCAACGAAGCAATGCGCGCGAGTTTGTGCTCAATGAGTCTTAGTTTAACTACGCCTATAGAAAGGCCTGACGACACGCGGGTTAGATTATTTAAAAATATCCAAAAATTCTAGTTGTATTACAGAGATAATAAGAATGGGTCAGTTTGAATTTTAGATTGTATATATTATAATTTCAAGCTGCAATTAACGTACTTATTTCACTGTTTGCGTTCGTCGAAATAACATACATGTATATCTCACATCTTTTCTGGTTTTCAGATTAGCTAACTTAATGATATCTTGATACGATGAGTGGCGTGAAAACTTTATTGAAACGTGTATTTTCATTGGGCTCCAAGCACGAGGTAAGATGGTAAAAATAGAAAGCAACCCGAATTTTGTGAAACAGAAAATTTGGAAATTGATTAATGTATTAGGAAAGCTAATGTAGATATCTATGAATAATTTGTGAATGATATATTTAAATAGTAAGTCAGGAGGAAAGTATATGTAAATTGTAGTAAACAAGCATGACGAGTCATGCTAAGTATAGAAAATGTATGCAGAATGCTCAGTAGATGTGTGGTGAATTTATTCAAAATGTATGAAAGATTCATTCAAAATGTCTTGAAAATGTGCGCACCTTGTATTATTGATAAATATTGATATCTCCGTATGGTGCCCAAAAAGTTTCCAAAAACTCGTATACTTTTTTTGTACATTTTTCTTGCATAACCTTTTCATAATTGTTAAGAAAATTTTAGCGCCAAGTTGAACTATTTTCAGTTTTACAGAACTGCGGAGAATTTATTACGATCACATTTGAAACAGTGCCCATTGGGAACCAAGTCGCCCGTAAAACTGTTGGCTCGACTGAAAACGTAGATGGAAAATCATTATTACGTTGCTGCTCAAACAACGGCTTTAATTTTCGCTTTCCCGCCCTAGGGTTTCATTTTTGGGTGCGGACTAGAGTTAACGACAGAGAAGGCTTAATAAAAAGTACCTTGTATACCGATCGGTGGAAGATAAATAGTAAAAACTGTAGCCATCTCAACCAAAGTATAGAATTCGCAGACGTCACAAACATTAAAATACATCATTTTCCTCCTTGATCAGTATTGCAGGAAAAATTTCAAATATTTTGTTCTGTGCACAATTGCAAATAATTATTTTACAGCACAAGCGGTATTATTGCAGATTAACTACATCCAAAAAAAAGGGTGTTTTTTTTTAATTATATGTTTTTTGGGGTGTAGATTACGAATCTGAAATCCATTTTTGGCGGTCGGCATCGGAAAACCGATTTTTTAAATAAAGGTGAGTGGGTAACGTAAGTTACGTAACCCCCATGTTAGTAAGTCGCGAAAAAAATCGGTTTTCCGATGCCGACCGCCAAAAATGGATTTCAGATTCGTAATCTACACCCCAAAAAACATATAATTAAAAAAAAAACACCCTTTTTTTGGATGTAGTTAATCTGCAATAATACCGCACAAGCAATTAAGCATAAAAAACTTTATACTATCATTTCATTTACGAGAGGAGTTCGGGTGAACTAGCTTTGTTCCGGAATCCTATAGGAACCATCCATGTTAGAGGGCGCAAGACGCTGAATCCTTATAGGTCTTGAAATCGCTGTCATTTACGTGAACCAATTTTCTCCTAAACGTGCACGATCAATTTCGAGAACTAACTGGTAAAATACGAAAAGGACAATGGATAATAAATGTGTAAAATCATGAAAATGTTCAATATTTATAAATGAAACAAGCTTTCGTTCGTTGAATCGTCTATATAGTCCATTGTCATGTCATCGCTTATGGGAGCGTTTCAGTATTACAGATGACCTGTAGCCAACGGGACTTCTGGTGCCTTAAATTGTTGAGCGTGAAGTATATTTTCAGTGTCACTTCTATGTAGGACCGCAGATATAATCGAAAATTAATAAAAAAAATGTTTTGAGATCAGTAATAGATCTTGGTTTGGAATCTCGACCCTAGAAGATAGATTTTCGTTATCTAATGATTTTAAGGTTAGTGGACGGGGGAGGTACAATGTAGGCAATTGAGGTTGATTACCAACTGGCGTAGGCCGGCATCCTATTTGATTACAGGCTGTGCCGGAGTGTTTTATTAATCCTCGCAGCTTGCGCCTGTTGTAACGACCTCACTTTTCCTTCCATCATGAACCGCTTTCTTGATTTCTCTCTATGCTTTCATCTTGATTTCTCTCTATGCTTTCATTTTGATTGACCGATCGGTGTTGTGGGGGTTCATTCAAATTTCGCTTAACTTCGCCAAGCTACGAATTGCTTTCATCAACATCACACTTGAAAATTTCCAACGTTGAACTTAGTTTAGTTCAATTACTCAGATCAATTTTATTTTCCTGTCTCTAGATAAGTATTTTTATTATTATATAATTGAGCTTGTAACCGGATTCGCTTTTTTGATCTCCCACTTGGAATTCATCATCATTCACCTCCTACTTGAGGTTCGTCTTTATTGACTTCTTACTTGGGAATCGTCTTATAGATCAATCGTCATTGGCCTGTCATATTTTGACCATGTAATTTGACTTTGCCCATAAGTTTCATGCATTTACTTTCTCAGATGGCGAGACCTGAAATTCACGGTCTCGTGGTGGCGGTAAACGCCGAGCAAAAACCCACGTTGCACAGCATCCTGAGCATCCCCTCGACCATGACGTCTACGTCTCGCGGGGGAGATTACTACAGTATTGTCATGGTCGATGTATCAGGGTCCATGAGTAACGTATGGCCGGAGGTCAAAGAAAACTGGAACAGAATATTGGCTCCCTGCCTCAATGGTGAGGTCATAGGGAGATAGTTTTCCGAAATTATTTTTTTTACGTTAATATTATTTGTCTCGCTGTGTTACTTATTGTATGTTAAATGTATTAAAAGGTATCGTACGCAACTATGAAGATCTGACCAAATCTTCAACTCGTCAATGTCGTGTCGAGTCTGATCTTGAATGAATTCAATCTTCAGTCGTGTGATTATTGGATAGAAATGTGAAATGTTTTCGTTTATTTTTCAAACTTCAGGCAACGGAAACTAATTTCAGTTTTCGTTGCTCTAGTCGAAGAAAAAAGCAGTAAAAAATAGTTGCACAATTAAAATGGAAATGTTTATCAAGAGTTCAATGAGCTTTTTAATTAATTGGAAACTTTCCTTCTCTCAGGCACCACGGACATTTTTACATTTGGTACTGAAGTTCGCTTCCGAAGGAGTCAGCCCACCTTAGAGAACAGTGACTTTGACTGCTCTGCTACTAATTTGACCGACGCACTGAAAATGATTAACCTGAAAATTCACCAAAGCAAAGAGGCTAACTGTCGAGTTTTCCTGATAACCGATGGAGCCCACAATTGCGAAGGGTCGCCGGCCAGTGAAATAGACAATTTGCGTGTACCTCCTGGTAAAACAGTTGAAGTATATTTGTTGGGGGTAGGTTATTCCTTCCCAGTGCAGTACAGTGTTGACATCCGGTCTAAACTACACAACGGGTCTGCTAGCTGTCCAACCCTATTTTGGAGCCGCGAAAACCTGGAAATGGCCAAAAAAATGACAGAAATTTCACAAGAAGTAACAAAAGGGTCGCTTAAATTTAAGGTTTCTATCCCGGGCAAAATTATACCGTTGATTGAGGAAACAAAAGGCGATGTCCGATGTGGCGAGTTTCTTTACTATGAAATGGAGCCAGAGCAACTCAAGTCCAGCTTAATAATTACTGAACTCGAGTCCAAGATTCCCATAGAAGATGTTGTGAATCTTGCCGATGCCAAGTTTCTGGTGAGCAAACTGTTCAAACAGTGGAATGCTGTCATCTTACAACGCCACAGAAACAAACTTGGCGTTCCTAATGGCTTTTTTGAGATGATGCAGAGCATCTTCGACCTCCAAATACGAGAGATTGACCCTCCTGCAAACTCGCAGCTAAAAGACCGTCTAGGCCGCAAGAATATAAAGCAAATACAACTCGACTTCTCGACTCTGATGAACCAAAGTCGGAGTATTATTTCCGTGGAATCTAAGTATAAGAATGAGCTTGAGTTGGCTGAAGCCATCCTCAAGTCGACTGTGCAGAGCCGTTACGATGACAGGCTCCTCAAGATCAAGGGTCACGGAGACTCGGAGTGGGAAAGTGATACTCTCGAAATGAAGAAAGTATACGAGTCTCTAAGAAAGGAGATCGAAGCTCTGCCTCAACCTGAACCTGATGATTGCTGCAGAGTATTGATGAATTCCTTCATTGGAGATCTCAAAGATCCCAATTTCTTCGATGTTTTAAAGGAAAACAAAATGGAATTCTTGACTACAATGACGTTCACCGGAATTCCAATTTTGGCGCCAGTGAAGGACTCAGCCCAGATCAATCCATGGACGATGTATATAAAGAATATTTGCGTAAGCCCGTTTGAGATATTGTCTCAGCGGGTCATTGAATCTGCCTTGGCTGTCGAAGCTGCCAGCTCAAGTGACAAGGAAATCCGGTTACAGAAAGACAACCCTAATTCGGTGTGCAATGCAATCGTTCCTATAATACCCAAGGAACACTGCAAGACGCTGGAAAGGCTCGTCAGAACTAACGTTTTCTCCATAGGAGCCACGTTCTGCATCCTGAAAAACGCCCTCATCGTCGATCATTCTTGTCATTTGGCCGCTCTTGGTTGTGTGTGGTTGAAGACGATACAAGATTACCCAGCTGAAAATCGCCCAGAGTTCATCAAAAAAAGACTCTGCGATGTCGAAGAAACGTCGAAAATCTACTTGTCGCGTAATACAATCGTCAACTATGTCTCCGCTTTGCAGAAGCAGCCTGCGTTAGCCCTCATGACCGAGTCGGAAGCATACCAAGGCAGCGTTCTCAGGTGCGAGTCGATCGTGAAGCCAGCGTTCCTGACGGGCTTAGTGAAGGACCAGTTACGAGCTTCTGAAAATACTAGTCTTCTGCTGAAGCTTATCCTCGTCGAGTTTCTAGGCCGTTGTCTGACATCTTACTCGTCCAAGTGCCCCTACATGGACCTGACTACGTCGCTCACTGATGAAACGCGAGAGACCAAGGTTGACGAGATTTCCACCGTGAGTTACGAATGCAGTTCACTTTCGAACTAAGGTTGTATATTCCAAGCTATTTGGTTAGTTACATAATTTAGCTTCTTCTTTTTTTAAAGTTTAGCATAAACATTGATTCTAATAATGGATCTGATCTTATGTACGTAAGGTATGTGATTGCGCGTCTTATGATCTGCGTGATCTTACTGTGTGTTCCCAAGGTATTAAATATGTCTCCGCTGTTTTGCAATACTATAATTCATTTAATCGTTGATCATTTTCATCCTTTCATTCTAAATAACAGTTAAAGCTTAGTTTCTGGGTAATTGGGTTACGTCGTCGTGCTTGTATTGCAACTAAGCTTTTACTACTCGTGCATATTCCGGCATACAAGGTATCTTGAGGTGACTCTATCGTTATTTCATTCGCTGTATTTGGCTGTTTTTTGACTGCGTTATGTGCTCTCCAATGACTACATCTGGCATTCATTTGAGTACGAGAGGAAATTATTTTTAGTTATTGTCATTTCAAGTGTAGCTATGTCGGTTCGAATGTTATCGTTCTTTTTGAACATTTTCCGCTAGATCCTTCTGGAGAAAGTTCAACTGAGTGGAGCTGAGCTGCTGGCGAAGTGCTATGCGCGTCAGGACGTCGAGAAATTCGCGCAGGAGAAGTTGGCTAACGCCCTTAAGGACGCCATCGAGAACAACTCTTTGCTGCCTCAAGACCTCGAGCTCAACATGAATAAGGTGCACGCAGTTAACGCCCTATTTCCTAGTATTACTGTGAAAAAAGCGCTTTTTACATGGTCAGTTGTTGGAAATATTCATCGGATTTTATTGTATGTTCCTTTTCTCTTAGGATTTCAAGCATCTTGTGTGCATTATTCCCCCTTAGTATATTATTAACTTAATAATCTATAGATTATTTAGTAGATTATTAACTTAATAATCTAGTTTCGTGAATGAAAGATGCCAATGCTCCACGAGTCTCACTACTCCCAGGAAATTTTCCATTTTTGAATAAAGAAAATCTCATGGAAAGCGTAAATTGAAGATTAAGGTACAACATTTTATAGACATGTCAGGTATAACAGTTACATAAAAAAGCAAGTTAAACGTTGGAATACTAGATTTTGGAAACGTTCTCTGTGTTAGTTTTTCTATGAACTAAAATGATTATTAAATTGAGGTTACAGTTCCTGTGCATGACTTAGTTCGTGATATTACACTTGTTACTGGTTGTCTTGATTTATTTATGTTGTACGTATAATTTTTCAGATTGAGCGACTTCGCCACAGTGGCAGCGCTGGCCACGTGGGCTGGCAAGGTCTCGTGGCGTGGGCCAACGAGCTGGCCTACGACCACAGCCCCGTGCCCCACGGTCCCCCTCCCCACGGACCCTCGCCTCTTTTCTCACGAGCACAAGTCGACGAAGCGTTCTCCGCTCCAATGGTTTGTTGACAGACATATCAACTTGTATGATGTGATCGATCTTCCGAAAGAGATAACATTATATGGGTCCAAGACGCTCAATGATATTTCTAACGAAAAGGGTTTTTGCTTAGGGTCGTTCAATCCAATTGAAATCCCAAAGTGGGTGTTGTGTGAGAAGCCCTTCTTGCTTAATTATGATCACTGTTGCCTAATGAATGACATCAGCTATTAACTTTCTGCCTTTTAGTTGTCAGCTTGTGAAAAGTGTCAAGCAATTGATTTGAAAGCCGGTATTCCAGTTTTAAGTAATGGGACCACTTATTAGTGGCCGTATGAGACTACATAGTGGGCCGTATGAGACTACATAGTGGGCCGTATGAGACTACATAGTGGGCCGTATGAGACTACATAGTGGGCCGTATGAGACTACACAGTGGGCCGTATGAGACTACATGGTGGGCCGTATGAGACTACATGGTGGGCCGTATGAGACTATATGGTGGGCCGTATGAGACTACATGGTGGGCCGTATGAGACTACATGGTGGGCCGTATGAGACTACACAGGGCCGTATGAGACTACACAGTGGGCCGCATGATACTACCTAGTGGGCCGTATGCGACTACGCAGTATGCCGTATGAGCTGTAACATCACCCCAATACAGGTGTGCTCGTACGTGCACCACGCGCTCGAGTACCGGCAGTCGCGGGAGCGCATGAAGAAGGAGCTCCTCGGCCCAGCGGAGGCACGTGACGCCATCTTCACGAAACTCGCAAACGAACAAGACTATTACCTCAAAAACGTACTCTTGCCTAAGGTTAGTTCCGGGGCCTCGGTAGCTTCCGCGATTTCTGTCTAGTTTTGTGGTTGTGTTCGTGTTGTTCAGTTTGTTGAAAATGACCTGCTTCATAGCAGAGCTCCTCGCATTTACTCGTTCGCTTCTAATCGTAAATGTTTGCTTTGCTTTCGCTCTATATGTCTAGATTTTGATATGGAATTGACATGAAAGAAATAAGATTCAAGTGTTAGGCACTTGTTGCATTTGTCGTTCACGTTCTCTGAGAGCATGAACCGCAGCAGTTCTTTTAGGGAAACCACTCCTTATTGGCAAGGGTATGATTAATTTCTGTCAGCTTACGGAAGACGTGGTAGAATTCAGTTGAGAGCATGTAGTGGAAATGCCAGCACTCGTAACACATTTTAGGGTAGCGCTTCACTGTAGGATCGTTTCATCCTCATCAAAACTAGCCAGAAATTTGGTTTGTTTGAAGACCACAATTTCTCTGAAGCGTCACCTAAGATACCTACTGCTGGTGTTCCTGTGACATTGGCAACACTGTCAGCTAAGACTGTTGAAAGGATTAACTACTTAGGTAGAGTAACTAGAATGGATTACCTAGAACTAAATAAAAATTTAATAACTAATAACACTGAATACAAGGTAGCTGTGTTACATCAATCATGGTTATTTACAGTTCGCATATTCTTAGCCATCAATCGACTCTCATCACAGGCAGCTGTAGTAATAATAATAATGTTGATTCATTTTTTTCTGTGCTTACCAGTAACGAAACTGATATCAAGCCGTTATAATATATAATATTATGGCAGTGCTAACCAATGTTGTTGCAATAAGTAATCCTGATGATAATCATTGCTCTACAGTTACTGAAGAGCACAGTGCAGCGCTGGGAGGCTGAGTACGATGAGGTGCACAAAGCTGTCGCCGTGCCCCTCAGTCGGCTGGAAATTATCCAGCGAGCTGTCGCTCTCGGTGTCAACGTCAACGAGCAGAATTTCGACCAAATCTACAAGTGGGTGTCGCCTAACTTGTGCTGCTGGTTATTATAGCTAGCTTATTAGTATCTCGTGTAATGAGCTGAGCAAGCTACAAAGCTTGATCAATATAAAAAAATGTGAATTTCATTTCTAGAATTCCACCCTCCCTTGACTTGCGCACGACCGGTTGTTAGTTGTAATGCCAGCGGGGTGGCCAGACTCATCGTCGCGATGTCTGGCTCCCTGCTTTATCTGTGCATGCCTTTTTTGTATCCGAATGTCACACTTTTACTAAAGATGTCACACACTTTTACTGTGCGATAATAATACCGAAAAATAGTAACATCATCTTGTCGTTCAGTTACATCACGCATTTCAAATCAGTGCTGGTAGAACTTTTGTAGCATCGCGCTGTTTCCAAGAGATAACACTGATTAAATTTTCATTAGGCTTTAGGCTAAATCATAATTTGAAGCTATAGTGATGATGCCTGTGACGTGTCAAGACTAATGGGTTTGTTGGAGCCGTAATATTGATCACGCTTTTAATGAACAATTTAACATTAAACTACTTGCTGCAGGTACCGAGAGAACGTGCGTATGTGTCGCAACTGCTGCCATGTGGAGAAATGCCCTCACTTCCTGAAGCCGAACGCTCGCTTCAACTGCCACATCGAGACCGAAAGGAAGCAAGCGGACTATCCTCACACTCTCCACCTGGTAAGCCACTCATTTCCTCCTCTTCTTACCCAATGTTGACGCTCGTTATTATGGTTATTCAATACAACCTCTTCATTGCATTTTTCTTAGGATATAGAAAAATAAATAATATAATTGCCCTCCATTGTCCTAATTGAGATTTATGATGTTTAAGCAAGATGCAGTTGAGTACCCAAGGATTTTTTTTTAATTAGACCTCGGCGAAGCTAGATGGACCTAAGTTTCTGTCGAGTGTGACCAGTTTTTTTTGTGGAGTATGTTACGACCAAGATTTGGGCGTAAATTGGGTTGGTCGTCTTTCATTCCTGGAAAATGACAGTAGAATAGTAAGTTTAATGAAATAAAACAAACTCTCTCTTGGTGCTTTGTTCAGAAATGTTATTAGTTTTTTATATACTGTGATATTAATGATATTGCCTTTCATTTTAGTTGGTATCGAGCGACTCTGCAGGAAATCAAGACCAGCTGGTCGAGAAGATCGCTAATAGATCAGCAGCGGGCACAAGGGCTCGTAAAAAACCACCACCGATACCTTCAGACGACCTGAGTCTCCTAAAGTTACAAGTGGAGCATCTGGCTCAGGCGTACATCCGGTCGGCCGTGGTCGTCTGAACACGATCATGATCCTGTGAGAGAGGCTTAAACAGAGTGGTTCCCATCCGAGCACTTTTGTCTTTCAACCCTTGGCTTGGGATGGAGTTGCATGTCTAGACTATCTTGATACCTGGTAGTGGCTTGTTGAATTTTCCAAGTACTGAGTTAACCTAACCTTGTACTAATGAGAATTATGGAAGTTTTTAATGGAAGTCCAATTATGTGCTTTTGTGCATCAATATACGTTCCATATATTCGTAGTTGAAAATCTGTATTGTTTAAATTAGCAATATCTTTAATTCTTCATAGGCTTATTTGTTCGATTTCCTTATTTTGTTGGGATGTTTCAAGGCTTCGAATATTGGTTTGATGGCATATTGTGATGGAAAAAATTTTGGCTGTGTTTAATAAGTATATCTCTCCGTAGCTGAGATAAAAAAAATTTCCTCATATTTGAACCCAAGCCTGACACATGCAATTTATTCAAGCATCACAAGTGCATATCCTGTTTTTCAAGTACCACCCGCTTAGTGTGACGTTTGGCCTGCCTCTCGTGATTATTTTAGTTAATATCATGCATCCTATGTTCGTGAAGAATCTTCCCATCTGTGTGGTTTTCAGCCCGCCTCCTTTGATTAATATGGTTGATGTGACACATCCTGTGTTTGTCAAGAATCGGCCCAGCTTGTGTGGTTTTCAGCCAAACGCCCTTGATTAATATGGTTGATATGACATCAGACACACCCTGTGTTTGTCAAGAACCGGCCCTGCTTGTGTGGCTCTCAGCCCCGACAGGTTGGTTGGTTTGGAGTATGCTAGTTTGTTAGGTGTGCATGTTGCATGCTCCATCTACTCAACCTACACCAAAATGAGCTCTATGGCTTCCTCGAATGCTTAGATTTGTCCCATACCTTTAAGGCCTTTTATTGTTAAAATCTAGCTGTGTTTAGGTAAAGAGCCTTAGCGACTTGCGTTCCCATGTACTGATTCAAACCTCACTATGTCGTGTCGTGCCGTGCCTTCCCATTGAAAATTGCTAGATCCTGAAATCTCCCAAATAATAGAACTACGGTAGTGCTTCTTGGTACTTTACGTTTTGTATTGTGTCGTTCAGTTTCTGAGGAGCATTCAAATGCATGCTGATGAAATGCTGCATCAGTGATGCTCCAATCAACTTTTCCGTATCTTGTATTGGACATTACCTAATATGATTGCAATGCATCCAAATCGCTACTATTCATACTTTCCAAGTTATAAATTTAAAATATTCATCATGCAAATTAAAAATATTTCATTGTATATAATAAATCATTATAATGGTGCACAGTTAGGAGTGTTTTGTGGTGTTATTTCTTCCGTATTAATTCGATGTTAAAAATGTTCTAGTGAATATATGGTTATTGTATGTTATGGATCAAATATATTTGAAAATCAATTTGAAATATTTCGGGAAATAAATTTGTGTAGTGCTATAGATATTAATAACTGACGATGGAACAATATTGTTGTTATTTTACATGCTTCTTGAAATGATTTACCTATTGTCATTAATATGAAAATTTATTGTGGTAATTACCAAAGCGAGCCGTTGCTTTAAGTTTCCAGTATCTGGAAACTTACTTCCAGTATCTCGCTCCAGAGTTCTTCTAGTTCAGTATCTTTTGATAGCCATTCATTATTACGGTTTTCATTATCATGTGACATTTTGTGCAGGCTGCAGCGATGGATGTGCACCTCCTCTTGCTGGAACAATTCTCTCCGTTGGCCGCGCATCAACGCTGGTCTTGTTTGCAACGCTCCAGATGCAAGTTATTCACAAGAAAAACTTAAGAAAATAACGCAGTGTTGCAGGCTGCGGAGTTTTTCGAATCCATTTCGCATTTTAGCATGGCCTAAACTGCCATTAGACGGCCTTTTATCCACTCTGGTCTTATTGCCAAAAACAATCAACTTTCCACTACTGCGCTTTCCGGATGCAATGGTGCAGCGCCGGCAATTTTAGGCCTCAAGTGTTTCCCATGAGTTATTGCCGTGTTCGTATGTTATATTAAGTTGAGTTGTTTGCTGGTGTGTGTGTTGTTGTTTTGGTGTTTTGTTTCGTGTTGATCTTGACGTTAGTGTTCATGTCGGAAATTAGGCTTAGAAGTTATTTTGTAGAATTGCTTGTTATAGAACTCGTGCAGGACCAGTTATTTTTTCCGCTATAACTCATTGCTACCTAATTCTACACACTTGAATGTTTATTTCCATTTTTTTCCGTTTTCCTCTTTCTTGAATTCCTTAATAGAAGATGTTTTTGATGTGTATATATGTCATCAACCTGCAAATGCTTGTCAAAAGCTGACTAGTGGTGTAGACTACACGAGACCTGATCATAATGTAAAGTCATATTTACATGCGCATAACTCATCTTTGTTTTGTGATTTTGAGTGAGATGATTAAACTACACGATCCTTCTTTAACCTTACAGAAATGGATTAGATTTAATACATTACTTCTCTTTATTTTAGTTATTATTTCGCTTCCATCTAGAAACTATGTTTCCATTCTTGCCCCTAAAGATTTTTATTTTGAGACAGAGGTTACATTGAACTTGGAATTGAAGATATTTGCTCTCGTCATTTCATCGTCTCTTATGGCAAAACTAACTTCAAATGAATCCATCCGCCTTAATGCGCTGACTACGGTAACGGGAACCTCTGAACTTCCAGTGCTAACTGGGACAATTCCAAACGAACTCTACTATGTCTCTTTCAATGCCCAATATATATAATACCAATTAAACAGCCTGTCTAAATGATTGAGTCACTGTATCAATCTTCATCTTTCATTTAGATATCTCATCTCACGAAGTCACGCTGCTATTGAATAGTCGCTGCGAAGTCACGCTGCATCGTGAGTATAATGAATAATCTCGCGATTCACATAAAACTTACTAAATTTTCGTCTTATATCAACAAGTCTATAGCCTGGTTTCCTATATACCTTGAATCTAAGAACTCTTCATTTGCGTTTTGCTTTTATGATTTTGATAGATATAATTAATCTAGACTAGACTTGATTCATATTTTAAACTTAAGGGAAGCTAGAGTAAACTTGGATATCTAACTTTCAACCATTGAATTCCAATGGGCCTGTATGGAAAAATAGGCAAATCTTATTACGTTTTAGCTTATCTTGAATAAATGTTAGATAGAAGCAATGGCTTGATCTAATTTTAAGTATGCTTAGTTATTTCCTCAACAAGTTCTATAAGGAAAGTATAGGAAAAAAATTCGACTTGGCATTAAACAAATAACGTGCATGTTGAGCGGACTTGCATGAGCAGGACAAAGTTTTTGGCAACATAATGGCTGACCTCCGTTATTCAATGGAAGCAAAATCTAAAACTTTGATCTTCACTACTTTGGAATAATAGTTAAGTGATGTCGACCGTTTTAATGAGTATTTTTGACGTTCTCAGTAGCATTTTTTTGTAATGGGTAAAGTGCGTCTGAAGTTTTCTAATTTAAACAATATATTGAAGTACTGCCGTGCTGCTAATGTATAGAAAAAATACTAATACTAAAATTATTCACAATTCAAAATAATAGTGATAAAAATGTAAGGCTAATAATAACAAATGATTATTAACAATAACATCTTAGATAATGAAATGGGAACGATGTTCAGTAACCATAGACTGGAAAAGAGTGATTTATAGCTTTTTGTATAGTGTCAATAAAAATAAGTGAAAGCGTTATTAAGACCTTCTCCATCACTTACTACGCTGCTACAGGAAGTGGCGGGATGCTTAACAAAATTGTTGTTGGATTAATTTGCTTAGTTTCCCTTCAGACTAAATTAGCAGTAATGTTACATAAATACACTGTAAAATAAGACTAAAAGAACATTTTTATACCAGTAACATAAAGTACCGCAAAATACTGTGAATGTTTTGCGATGTTAAGAATCGGCGACAGGCCTACGGGCTACTAAACGCTGAAACCGCTATTATTATTATTATTGAGTCCACCGGTAAGTGAATTTTCGAAAAATTGTGTTAGTTAAAGGCATTGGTTTGCAGGAAAAGGTTTGTCAATTACATCTTTTATCGACGAAGGAAAAGAAACATACTAAAATAGATTTTTGCAAGAAGGATAAAAAAGCTTCACTAATGAATCATATCTCAAAGATATTGCGGAATGGAATTTAAATCTCGTAATTTGGAATTTAAATTTACAACTGCTTTACATTCACTACCTGTACTAGTGCGAGCCTCACGAAAGGACCCAGAGGCTGAAAGCAAACAACTGTTCGTAGTAGATCAGAGAACAATATGTGAAAGGACTCGTGGATGACTTAACTGTACTGTTTGACTATTTCTAAATGGAACTTTCATTTGAATGAAATAAATTGTAGCAGCAAAAAATAGGGCATAACTGAAACTAGTTCATATTCACCAGCAGATTCAAATCTTGAAATAGGAGGTTCACTATCAGAAAAGAAAGAATGACATAGATGTAACAGCAAACAACCTCTCGTAGTTATCTAAACTAGCTGCATAGAATACGTATTTTCGATCGAGCTCCAGGCATTACCTGACAGGATGACTGCAAGGATCCAACATTGACCAATGTTGATGTAGAGACCAAATGCAGGAAATTTTATTCGAGAGGAGCACATTTTTCCCAAATAATAACTCGCACAGTTGGCACTGATAATAATCTTCGGAACAATTAGAATAAATCATTCGTATAAAAACTCGATCATATTTATTTCTCGACTATTTTATCAAATTTGTCTAATACAGTAATACTGATCAATCGAGTGCCGTTGCTGATCAACAAACAATATTGGTAACATTCAAATACATCTTTCAGCAAAAGAAAAACATCGCGACGTACACGAAGCGCAAAGAAAAACATGGCCACGTACACTTAGCGACTTACTGTAGGTGTTGCGCGAGTCCTGTAATAAAGACGTAACTAAAGCGGTGGTATTATCAAAACATTTGCGCGGGAAGCTACGTACAAGAATTTGTGCGTAAAGGAATGTTAGAACACTAATGGTGGGTAACTACTACCTATCCTATTTTGCGACTCCTGGCTTCAATATATAGAGCATCAGACTTATGAATTCGACCGGCCCTTTGACGTTATTTTTTCGAAAAAAAAAATTGAACGAAGGGATCTTGCCGGCTGACTGGAAAGAAGCTCAATTAAGTGACACCAGTATTCAAAAAATGTGACAAAAGCTGCCCGGGCGGCTATCGCCCTGTCAGTTTGACAAGTGTCGTTTGCAAGGTAGTGGAATCTGTTGTGAGGATCGATTGATAGATCATTTGACTGTTAATAATCTCCTATCAGACTGTCAACATGGATGTATTGCCGGGAAATCCTGCACCACTAACCTCTTGTCTACTCTGAACGAATGGACCAGCCTGCTGGACGAAAGCCTCAGGAAAGGGAGCCAGTAGATGCAGAGTACCTCGATTTTGCCAAGGCATTTGACAGTGTCCCACATGAGCGGCTGTTGCGGAAATTGCAGTCTTTGGGAATTGATAGCAATGTACTCAAATGGATCAGAGCTTTTCTAGTAGAGAGACGACAACGTGTCAGTATTAATAGGTCAGAATCAGACTGGGCTTCAGGGCGCAGCGGCGTGCCACAAGGAAGCGTTCTCGGGCTTGTTTTATTCGTTGTGTTTATAAACGTTCTGCCTGAAGCTGTGTCTAGCGCAGTGGTTCCCAAAGTGGGTGATATCGCCCCCCTAGGGGCAGTGGGAAGATTTTGGGGGGCGGTAAGGAAGAAGATGGCGATAGGGGGCGATAGGGGGGCGGTAGTCCGAAGTCAATGTCAGAATTTCCAACGTTTGTTTGACGATTTGTACCCAAAACGTGCTGCACATGACTCCCAGCGATGGTTTTTTTCACCCAGATCTGTTTTTTTAACTTCTCCTGGGTTTACGTCTTGGTCAAATTTACGGTCGGACTCGCGGCCAGTCTCACGTCCAATTTCTAAATTCAACGATCATGATATATCTCTCAAACTAATTTAACCAAACTCTATGAAACTTGTACACGTATTCATTAGGACCTAACGGTTATCTTTAGCTCGCGCAAATTTTTTTAATTTTGCCTTGATTTGTTTTTGCCATAGTTATATGGCAATAAGGGACGAAATTCAAAGTGATCAAGGAATTTCTTCCAAACTACTGAACATATTCGAACGAAATTTTGAATTTACAATCCCAAATACCCAACAGTAATGTTTAACTCGTAAAAAAATTTTCGATTGTTCCTTCGTTCGCGATTTTTTTTTCATTTCACCTTCATTAGTGATTTAACAGCAATACGTGCTTAAATTCGCTGTAATCAAGAAATTTCTTTCAAACTACTGAACAGATTTGAACGAAACTTAGTATTTAAATACCTAACCTCAGCAACGGTGATGTTTAGCTCGGTACAATTTTTTCAATTTTGCCTTCGTTTGCGAGTTATACGGCTGTACGTAAACGGTTCTTGGTTAAAACGGCCGGTAGAAAAGCCGGTCGTTTCTACTATATCTGTATTACTCGCGAACGAAAGCAAAATAGAAAAATTGTGACGAGCTAAACATCACCGTTGGGAGGTTAGGTATTTAAATATATATATATTAAAGTTTCGTTGAAATCTTTTCGGTAGTTTAGAAGAAATTTTTCTATCACCGCGAATTTAAGCGGCAAATTACCCGGCGATACGGGCCGAATATAAGGAAGTGTGAAATCACAAATGCCGGAGAAATGAAAAAAAACTCGCAAACGAAGGTAAAATAATAAAACTGTAAATAAAAAATCACCGTTTGGCAGTTAAGAATGCATATTCAAAATTTCGTTCAAATCTGCTCAGTAGTTTGGAAGAAATTCTTTGATCACTGCGAGTTTCGGCCTGTATCGCAATATAACTCAGGAATGAAGGTGAAATTAAAAAATTTTCATGTGCTAAACATCACCGTTAGGTTCTGATGAGTACATGTTCCAAATTTCACTGAGCTGCGTTCATTAGTTTGGGAGATATTACTTGATAATTGAATTTGGAGATTGGTCGTGAGACCGGCCACGAGTCCGGCCGTAAATTTGCCCGAGACGTCCTAGGTTTCTAGTGCTGAAACAGTCAAAACAGCTGAAAAACATTGGTTCAATAAATGGTGTTCTATTTGTGAAATACACATTTGTGTTTACCCTTTTTCCTTTAAAATTGCAGCGTTCTAAATTTCAAGAAAGAGACGTATGTTTTTATATGTGTCTGTAGGGGGCGCTAGAAATTCGCAAGGCAGCCAAAGGGGGCGCCAGCCTAAAAAAGTTTGGGAACCACTGGTCTAGCGTACGTGTGCTCGATGTATGCTGACGACACAAAAATTTATAATACAGTGAAGAATACGTCGCAAAAGTACAGTTACACGGTGATCTTGACAGGCTGGTTGACTGGGCTGATAAGTGGCAGCTGCGTTTTAACGCTGACAAATGTAAAGTAATTCACCTTGGCAAGAATAATGAACAGCTAGATTACAGTATGAGAAGACACGGTTGCAACGACAGAGTGAAGATGTCAAAGTGGACAATGGAAAATGATTTAGGAGTTAATATCGACAATGAGTTGAAATTTTCTAAGCATATTGAAGGTCAAAAATTAAGTTAATAAAGCCAATAAACAACTTGGACTGATCAGACGCTCTTTCGAGTTCCTAGATGCAGAAGCGATGAAGCAGTTGTTTGTTGCTGTCGTGCGCCCGAACCTAGAGTTTGGAAAAGTCGTGTGGTCACCGAAACTTGAAAAGGACAAAAATTTAATAGAGAGTGTTCAAAGATATGCAACAAGGATAATTCCGGGCTTGAGAGGCAAGTCCTATGAGGAAAGATTAAAGATTATGAATCTTCCAAGCCTCAGTTATCGACGTCTGCGTGGGGAACTCATTGAAGCATACAAGTATACTCATGGCTTATACAAGGTCACAGAAGGATTACTAGAATTTGAAACAAGAACCCAGGGTCCCCTGTTATAAACTAAAAAACTGCGTTGTAACACATCCATGCGACAACATTTCTTCTCGCTTCGAGTCACCGACATGCGAACAGCATCGTTGACGCTCCGAGTATGAACGCCTTCAAGAACTGACTAGACGAAGCTATGCAGGAGCATATGTTCAGTCTTAAAATGCCTATCAAATTATGGACCAGGCAATAAGTCCAGCAGCTATCTCAATCAATCGTCAGTTATGGAAAGATCGGGTTCCAAAGGCCGGATCCCTTGTGAATCAAGTCACGAAAAATTCAAGAATCGGCAACAGGCCATGGGCCTATTTCTTCAGTGCCGACACTTCTATTCGATAGGAGTCTGTGACACTGCAAAAGCTAGACATCCTAGTCTGCATCGCTGTTATGTGTTAGCAATGCTGTTGTCATTCACTATCATCTAATCACTAAGCTTATTATTCTTCACTGTAAAATATTGTATGTAATTTTACCATTTAAATGTATCTCATAATTTAATACATTTTTAAAGTAGATCTCGGGGAATTACCTTTCTACCGCGCCGGCGGTAGTCCATGGAGCCATTTCGGCGCTACGACAAAATAAGTTCTTTCTGCGGGATATATATAGTCGAGGTGGGAGCATCGCAGTCGAGTCGGCGGTACTACAAAGTCTTCTCGGTGGTACCACAGAATCTTGTCAGCGGTACTACAAAGTCTTGTAGGTGGTACCAGAATCTTGTCGGTGGTATACAAAGTCGTGTTGGCGGTCCCAAGGTTGTGCTGCTGGACGTTGGACGTCTGAAATTGTAATCAGACCAAATGGTGTTTTCCTTGAGCGGTCAGGTATCACCAGCCTATTGGTCATAAAATGGTCATATGAAATGGTCATATGATATGTGTCATTTTAAACAAACTAGCAAATAATTTATCCCAATTCACCCTACTTCGTAATCTTCGCAATTTTTTTTGATCTCCCGGGAGATGAGCTCATCCTCTGGGTTGCGGACACCGCCGCTTCCTGGGCTGAATTAAAATTTACGGTGCGGAGTAGTTTTCGTGTATTCATGATTTGTGTAAAGAACCTATAATCTTAGTCCTCTTCAAGTTCATATAATCATGGCCCGTGTTTTGTAGAAGTAATTTTGGTCTTTTTAAGAATTTATTATCATTGACCGTTTTGAGTTTTAATTATCTTGGTCCATTTATAGTACTATAATCTTGGTTCAAGTTCACTTCTCGTAATCTTATAATCTCGAATAATTTTTGTCCAGATTTAATACCTATAATCTTGCTTTATGCTTATTTTTATAATCTTGGTCTGTGTTTACTTCTTTTAATCTCGTTTTATGTCAGGTGATCAAAATCTGTGTTTAAGTTGAGTTCTTATGAAGATTTATAGGCTCTAGTAGATGATGTGCGATCATCAACACGAGCCATATGACACGTCATCGAGGAAGATTGGCTTTCATATCACAATCCAAACTTTCCTGATCAGTTCTATTTAAATGATATCTTAGATTTACAATTGTTTCTCTATTTAACTAACCCAAAATGAACGATGAATCCAATTTTATGTGATTGCAACCCCAACTTGTGAAGACGGGTTCAAACTTCTCAAGAACTAGTAAACAACTTACCTAACTAAGCTATGATTGAAAAACTCAAATAAATGCTAATTAATTGTGATTTTTTAACTTCATTTTGAATAACACTGTGAGAATTCTAATTCAATTCGATGGTTGCCAAGGCGTTGCATTATCCTGGGTTATATACGCATTTGCCCCACACTTTCTTCTGTCCAATTCTATAGGATCAAAGTCTTTTTTAACGTCTGTAGTTTGATCTAATACTGTTATGGGAGATCAAATAGTTTCAATTTTCATCAAGTCTAATTACAATTAGCTTGTAAATATTACATCATTCAAATTGCTTCGTGTTTGTTAGAATTTCTGAAACCAAGTTTCTGTCATCAAATCTATATTCGCACGAAAATGTTCTACTCCTACATCCAACCGTTGTTTGCTTGCGTTCTGTTCGCGTTGTGTTTGGATTTGAAGAAGTCTTACGTAACTGTTGACTTCGATCAAGTCAACTTGACGAACGAAAAGTAAACTTCTCGATTTTATTCGTTTTAGGCCGTCACGTCAATTTTAGATGAATATTTTGATCACTTCTCAAGATTCGTGTTTAGCTGGAGTGGTGTGATTGAACGCTTCGAGTCAATGTTGCGGTGGACGTGGTTATGTTAATTTATTTTGTTGTTGTTGAGTTTATTCCAATAGAGTATAGGTGTTCTTTTCACGTTGTCGCACACTGTATATCCTTCTTTTATATGAAGGTAAATGAATGCTTGTTATATCTAATACTTTTACGTAATTACTTCCATTTTATTACAGTGATCTGCCTTAATTACCAACTTGGAGTGCTGATAAAAGAATCAATAGCCAGTGGGTTGGGGACCTCAAGTACTGAATATTCACATCATAACATAGGATGCTCTTCATTTCTATATTTACAACTTTAGTTATTTGCATTGCTAGTTGTCTACATTTTTCCGTTGATGAACAAGTTTATTAAGAAGGCTAAACGATTTACGTAGCAGTCTAGAAATGTTTTCATTTTAATATAAACTTTGCTGGCTCGATGAATGCCGTTTCAAAACTATGTTTGAAGCGAATGATAATTATTGCAAAAAGTTTGAAATCACTGCAATTGTTATGCTTAAGGTCAAAATTGGTTGAATATTTGAGTGGGTGGAGCAAAGGTCGAATGGGCGTGGCACGGGTCGAGTGGGCTGAGCATTGGGCAGCGAGGTCAGCTCACGCCAGTCGCTCAAGATCGCGCTTAAAAGGTGGTTGTGTGAACCTGCGTACCCGAGTTCCCTTCGCTGGACCCCTCAAATTCTGTACCAAGCGTCGAACTTACAGGATTTGACGTTCGTAAATATGAACTAATATACAGACATAATTTTGAAAATTCATTGGACGGTGAACTTTAAATTCACGACGTACGCGTCATAGATAGTTTTGTCACTATGAGATGTGTTGTAAGCTCAGGTGCTTGAGAATGGCGAGGCTTGGACAAGGTATGTGTTCGACACGAAGCTCGTTTGTAGTGCACAACCGGCGTGAGTGCCGGCTGGTGACAGCGGCTGTAGGACGGCCCCACACGACGCTGCTAACAACCTCATGGAAATGTCAGAAGCTTGCACTGATGCTGGCACTGCTTACGGCCCTCACTCCCACCGCGTCAGCTATCCAGTGGTTGTGAGTACACCCTTTAAAAGGTCACACAATTCAGCGTACTTCGTATATTTAAGTCAGTTAAATGCATGAATGATGTTTTATGTTGATGTTTTTATTTAATTTAATCGTTATACTAGCGTGAAGTCCGGTTGGTTATCTGTAGCTTTTATAGCACTGCATGCAGGATCTGAAGCATTGTAAGAATTGCGTTCATTGTTGCCAACCTTGCCATCTCGCTGCTGACTCGTAAGATGCGCAGGTATTCTGTTGAAAAAGTCAGTAGTTTTAGTTTAGCATTGCTTATAGTGAATAAATTGTATGCTCAAAGTTTACGGGACACTTCTGCTACTGGGTCTATAACCTGAACTTCTGGTTGGTACCGCCTTCGGAACGAAGTTCATCAGCACATCAGGAGCATAATTACAGCTAAAATACTTTGACATTCGCTGTTGAGAAATTACCTCTACTTAGTACTTATATACTTATTTGCGATTTCACATTTGCATTTTTACACATAATTTATGTTATTGTAATTGTTCTCCTCTAGGCAACAGATGTTTGAACATATTGCAAATAATTTTTTTTTAATATCAAATGTATATGAATCCTAACGATGGGAGTTGACATAAACAATCATCTTTAAGACGACATGAGTCGAATCGCTTAAGAGTTTTCCACTACGCGCCGGTCTTAAGTCTATTGAAGCACAGCCATGTAAGAATGTCGTCCATGAGCTGCAAGATCACGCAAGCACGCACTTCATGCAACCACAATTTGCGTGTCCTGGTCTGCAGCTTCAGTGATTAGGTGAGCCTATAGCGCTTCACGCCGCGGCTCAGCGCCCGCACCCTGACAGAGCGCCGCTCTCCATGCAGCCTGACGGGCGCGCGAAGCCTCGACCAACGGGCAGCTCCGCGACGTCGACATGAGCGAACGACTGTAAAGGTTAAGAACTAGGACCTAGGCGATTGTGAATGCCCTATCAAATTCCACGACTTGGCACAGCTACCTGCTACTGGACTAATAGTGATCCAAATATTTTAGGCAAATTTATGACAGCTTGGCTTTACGACTACAAAGTTACGGTGCTACTAAATTGCCAGACGAGCTGGATCACAAGACGACTGAGTGACTTGACGCCTGAGCGCCGGACGCGCCCCTCGATCAGCACGATTCGCTGTGGTCGCGCCCCTGTTTTTTAACGAGCTTTTTAGAGCTGAAATTTTTTTGCACGAGTACGCGCAGCGCGATGGCAGAAGACTGCTGTCTATCGATGCTAATGGCAGGTTGAAGCAATCGATGAGGCGTAAGATAGCCACGATGGTACACCTGCGTCTCGCCAGCCTTGTCAGTCACAGGACGAATTAAGCCAGCTTGGATTCCTCCGTAATAATGGCTTGAAGCTAAGTCACCCTGTAATCAAACTCAGCTTTTCTCTCGTCTATCTGACACTGCAATGATGGCTGCCTCCGCACTTTACCTCATGATGACTTATTCTCCACCCCTCCAGGAGCAAGGATTGTTTGGCCGTCGAACTTGCGATGTGTAACTCAAACTTTACAATTTTGTACCTCTTTAGGGAAATGATAAATAGCGTTCATTAAGCGGATTTATTTTAACTCTGACGGCGCCTTTTGGTCTCATGTAATTACGATGGTCCGTGCAACTTCCGTTACTCGTACCATATTTTTGGTAACTCAAGAAACGGTCAGACTCATACGTTACCGATATGTTGAACAAATTGAATTATCGCTTCGAAACTTTTAAATCGTAGCATTAATGTACTGTATTGGTCTAAATTTTCAAAAAATTATTTTTATATTTCAAATGAAGATGTGATATTGTATACCTAGCTTTAACGGTCTATGAATTTTTAACCCGTTAAAGAAAAAAAACTCTAAATTAAAGCGTAATATCACTTGTCCAATAACGCTAAATATTCAATGATGTTGATTGTCAAGAAAGAACCGAAGACGGCAACGCTCACAAGAATGATTTTTCGACAATTGGATATAATTATTTTTTTGAAGCAATTTTCAGTCCTGCTTGCATGACCCTTTATGAATGTCTACGGGGATGACTCATAACTGTTCACTTTATTTGTGCTTTCTAAACGTTTCAGTTAGCATTGGAACGATTGAAAATTGTGTCTGCGTACTAAACACATAAAAAATACAACATATGCATAAAATTAGGTTCTGCTAAATCCTTATTACATTTTTGATCAACTAGGTTAATGCAATAAAGGATTAACGTGGTTTTATGAGGAAAAATCCATAAGTCTAGTGTAAACGTTCAATTTTTTCGTCGACACTGAAATATTTTATGTATTAATCACCAAGAGAGACCGATAAGAATCTTCAATTAATCTTTGCAGATATTTAGTATTGTTTATCATGATTGATTGCCAAATAGCATATTCGAATAGGAAGGATGCCCTTGTAATTTTCTATAAACAAATCCTACATTGTTCGGTGTGGCGCAAGGCACTTCGCATGTCTGCTTTATTATTCTACATTTTTAGAAATTTTTACTTGATCACCTGATGAATCGAGGCGCCACTTCCATAGAATTAAATGGGATGAAAAAAATTAAAACCTTTATTCTGTGCGATGAGGAGAACCCGTTTTTCAGGAGAGCCCGAGCTTCAATAAATTCACTAGTACATTTTAAAAATATTTGTTAATCAAAAAAATAATTTATATTACTGAACACAAAGTACGATGGAAACCCATACAGTTGAAACATGTTACGAATGAATTTGAACTCAGAATGCATGTCACGGAAGGTGGAACCAACTTTTTAGCCGAGGCGTTTCGCGTTGCGGTAGACCATTCAATAAAAAAAATAACGTAATAAAGTTTCAATCTTTCCCGTGTATTTTTAGATTTCAACAGATGATCATACTTGTATTCTATGTATTCTATGCAATTTTTTTAAATGATGATGGTGCTGGTATTCGAAACGTTTTCAAGGAAGATTTGGGGGATAACCATGGCATTTTGTTTGCTTCTAAATTCTTGATGAAGTTTGTTGTTATGTGACATGCCATCGATGTGCTTCGCTAAATACTTATTTGATTGAACTTCATACACTGTTCGAATGGAGGATAAGACGAGGAGCTTCACCAAGACAGGTTAGACGAGCGTCCCTCAGTTAATTTGCAATCGTGTGGAGCTTTCTATGCTTAGTGATAAGCAGGGAGATCGTGCATGATGAACGTTGCTTTTTACGTTGTTTTACAGCTCATTTTCATGAGTTAAGTTCGTTTCTTCAAATGAGTCTTTCTAAATTTGAATTATGTCGAAACCGTGTTGGCTGGATCTGGTCCAGTCTTGGCGCGGTGTTCGTTCAGCTGAATAAGAGGAGTGCATGCTACCGCCAGCAAACTTGCTTGTTTGTACCGATGACACACCGTGGCATCTGCGTGCCATTGTTGGAGGCTATGCCCTCGCGGTTTCGGAACCACCGATCTAAGCACAAGTTCCTCCTTCTTAACAATTTTTACTGTTTAGTTTAATTTAATCACTTCACTTATTAAGCATGCATAAATTTTTGAAATTCATGGTTTTAATTGATATTAAAATTTACAGAATTTTCAAACTTAAGCTAAAATCATCTACTCATGGTGTTCAAAGATTTTTATGAAGCGTTCTACTTACGAAGCCACAAATGCCTTCGTGGTTTGAAAAGTCTTTTAGGCCTCTAGGCCTGCACTACCGATTGATCATTGTGTATGCTAATGACACTCGGCACTCTCTGCAGATGATGACAGAGGCTTCATGATTGACGACTCTGATCTGACCTTGCTCGGTGGTTCGCCTCCTGTGGCGCAAGGGGGACTCGCCCGGGGCCGGCAGCTGTTGGCCCCTGGAGCGGCAAAGGATCCACCAGGGGGCGGGGGGCAATGTGGGGTCAAGCCGCAAGGGGAGATGCCCAACACCCCCCCGCTCACAGCAGAGGAAGAAGGGAGTAGCCACCCCGGACCCCTCTTTAAATACTTTCGAGGCGAGGATGAGAGCCAGGAGGGGGAGGGTTGCTCAGTGCCCGGGGTGCAACAGGGTGCTGTCGGTCGCCAATATGGCGAGGCACCAGAGGGCGTGCCTGGTGTGGGACCCTGGGGGGGGGGCAAGTCCCTGACGGGGATCGACGGCCCGGGAACGGAACGGAACGGAACGGACTCTGATCTGGATGTTCATGTGCACGCTTCATCTCCAGATAACTATAGGTACAGATTCTCTTTGAATCTGACTGTACAATTCCGCAAAGAGACATCAGCTTATTCCGACTGTTGGGATACCGGTACCTTCTACCTTGAAGGAGTGAGCAACAGCCTCTTGTTGAGATAATGCATGCACATCGGATGACGGATGATCGCTGGCGTCCACTCCGTCTTAGTGGATCAATTGCTGTGATCAATGAACATCGCCTAGAGTTCTTGGGAGGAAAGTCAGGCAATTAAATTGTACACTATAAGAGTAGGACTTTTAGCCTCTATATGCTTCGAAGGATCAAGACGATGCAGTTCTATATACTCAAATCAAGATCGCGAGTATTAAGAGAATCAGTAGCTAATATCAATGCATAATTTATGGAATAATGTTCTTGTCGCCCATTGCTGGCGTTACAGTCTCTATCATATGACTTGAATTAATTTCAGTTTTGTTAGATTTAGACATAACATTTAACATCAGCTTACTGGATGCCATCATTCTCAATGAGAAATGTTTACCTAAAATTCACTATGGCTTATAAATATATATATATTCATTAATATGAATTTAGATTTACTATTGCTCATAAAAAGTATTATCACTGCTTATAAAGATGTATCTCACTTAATAGTTTTGCCCACTGATCAGCATTGGGAGGCGTATCTACACAAGCGGAATTGACTTGTCAGACGTGTAGTTTTTTTTACTGCAAACATGGATAATTTTCCATTCCCATTCAGTTGGTGTTTATATCGTTCATACGACGAATTTTATAAAATCTCAATCACGTTTGTTTCATTTCTGAAA